TTGGTATTTACGCCCACGTGTCAATACTTTGACTTCTGCCTCATCATGTAATGTTTCAGGGATTGTAAATTTTACGAGGTTTGAGCCTCCCTAGGAAGTTTTTAGTGCACAGAATGTTGCATATTTTCCTCATTTATCTGGTAGCCGGTTGGAGCAAAACAAAAGAAACAGCTATGCTAGCGGGCCTTATATACATATAGCTGTTATGATTTATCTAACCTCTGTCCATGTTCATACGCATATGATGCGCATGTGCAGTTACGGCTTATGTGCAGTCATTCCTCTGGCGGCTAAGCCAACAGAGTTTAATCGCTGCATTATATCTGGGACCGGATCTGACCGACAGGGTGCCGTCGGTGCGTGCCAACGCGCCTTAAAAGTTTAACGTGGAAATCGCGAAATTAAAAAGTCACCAGAAATCGCCGAAACGCGTGTCAGGACTCGGTTCTTAGCTTGGAAAGGAGGCGTCACAGCGCAGTGCAAATAAACAGTTTTTCTCGGAAAATGATAGGTGATGGTATACCAAAAAAATGCAGGATTGATGCGCACGCTGCGCATGTATCCTGGTGCACAAAAAGTGGATTTGGCGTCGTTTGGTCTTGTAGATAACGATTCGAAATTAACTGCACCGAGCGGATGCACGTGTCGTCCACAGGTCAGTCAGACAGCTCAGCACCGTCAGACACATAGCGACGCTAACAGTCGATCGGGGATTGCCCGATGTTGCGCACTTGGGAGGCAGTCTCGAATATAGCGCCCCTGTCACCTACGCTGAGTATATCCTGACCACACAGTTGACACGTACGTAAAGCCAAGTTCATGGTGACGAACACCCAACCAAATATTTTCACGGCGATTTGATCGCTGCCGCCGGCAAGGTTCGTCGCTGTAACTTTCCCCGTTTACCTGGGTGCCAAATGCGGCGATCGTTTGCCGTAGACTCTGCACGTACATTGGAGTCGCGAATTTGCACCGTTCTCGGGCGGTTCTCCGCGCGGCCGATATTCGGGCGTGTCCCCGTGGCTTTCGGCAGCCGAGGGCCGTCGGTGATCCCCACACGGAAAGAGCAAGGGCGATACAGCTGAGGTAAATGCGATGCATGAATTGGCTCACAGTGCAACTACGGTGGGGAGACGACCCCCCCCCCCCCCCCCGCCCCTCCCCCACCCCCACTCCTAAAAGCCCGAATTTTCGTTTTTCATCGTAGGGGGATTCCAACAGAAAGAAAGCGAATCGGCGTGATGCGTGCTTACCGAGCCCCGTGCCCCTCCCTTAGGAAGCTCTTGGCTCCACCGGCTACGCCCTTCAATCGGCTAATGCGGCTTATGTAGCACGTGCCGTAGAGAACTTCAGAATTCCGAGCAAGACGACTAAAAACGACATATAGCCAGGAAGCCTCCAAACAAAATGAATCCAAATAAGCTGTATGAAATTCACAAGCAAACAAATTTATCAAGCAATCAAAGCTCGTCAATATTGGAAGTTCAGACGGCTCAGGCCAGGAAATACCGATATCAAACGAAGTCTTGGAAACGCATTGCGCATCACGCAGCACTGGCTCTCTGGTCCATTTAAGTGTCACCTCACAAACTGTTTGAAGCAGGCTACACTTTTTACCCATGGTTGGACTTTCAAATGACTTGCATAGAGCCTAATCGCCCAAATCTAGCATTGTGCTTTAAGCCCAACAATGCACTATTTTCAACCCTAAAATCGCGATGCTTTTGATATGCGTCGCCCTTCGCACACCACGGCCAGTCTGCTGCTGCACCTATGTGCGCGTGGTGCGTCAGAAGTTCCGCGCGACAGGAGTCACCTGCAGAGTTAAGCCTTGGTCGTGCTTTCTTCTTCAGCAGCCTCTTCTCCCGAGTCAGGGTCCGTCTCTGTTTCTGCAACATTTGTGCACTGCTTCCCTTCTTCGTCCCGACCAGAGTACAAAACCGTGTAATTCGGCGACCCGGAATGCATGGCGTGACTGCATCTCATACAGCTGTGAGCAGTAAACGCTGAATATGTTCCGTATCTCTTTCCATATCCTCTGAGGCTTAAGCAGGCCAGCCATTTCGTCTGGTGCACCATTTATGTGTGGGCTGTCCAGGGTGTTTATGACTGCCCTCTGAATTTCAGTATGGACATTGAATTGCATATAACTCTAGATTTCACTATGGACATTGAATTGCATATAACTCTAGATTTCACTATGGGCATTGAATTGCATATAACTCTAGATTTCACTATGGACACTGAATTGCATGTAACTCTGGATTTCACTATGGACACTGAATTGCATACAACTCTGGATCTCACTATGGACACTGAATTGCATACAACTCCGGATTTCACTATGGACAATGAATTACATATGCTTGATAATGCACATCGAACAGCAATCGGCGGCAAAAAATTTGTGAGCGGGGCCTCGTAATCTGCTGACGCTTTTGTAAACGGACATAGAGCTGCATTGAAGTCAGGGACTCATACGAGACACGAGCCAAATGTTTTGTTATGAAATGTGGGTACTGGATGTAGGAAAAAGCGATTGTACTTGAAATATTCATAAACTTGATATATATATATATATATATATATATATATATATGCATGCAGATTGATATAACTGATACACATAACTGCCAGCTGCGTTTAGCGTAAGACGGGTGTTGTGACGCTGTAGCAGTTCTCCGAACAGAGGCGCCTGGAGCGTTAGAGATGACCGCGTCGCGACATGTGCGGTGGGATGTTCGACACACCCGGTCACCGCCACGGTGAGGCATGGGAAGCCGGACGCCACACTGGCGGACACCGCGGTTGCCCGCCTCAGTTCCGGCCAGCTCACCTGCGCACCGTCGCCGTTTCCGTCGCGCCATCGGCCCGTGAGAGGGCTGCGTGTTATGGCTGGCGCACCGATGTTGTGACCAACGCACCGATGTTGTGACCGATGCACCGATGGCATGTGCGTACCACACCAGGCATGTTCCGTTTGATTGAGGTCCGCATGGCCACTGGCGATAAACTATTGCAAACAAACTGGCGTTCCTTATTCTGACCGATTTTGGCAACTTTGGCAATGTGTTGTCCCTGAACCACAGACGCTGGACATTCTGCCGGCACATTTCGTACATACAGTGCAAGGATACATGCTGCATGCGATAATGTAAAGAGTTAACTGTAAAATCAGTGATAACTGAAAATATATTTACCCCAAAGAGTTATCGGCAATGACTATTCGGATCTCAATCATGAAGTGTTGGAATGTTTACATCTCCCACAGGTTTTGAATGAAGAATGAAGGAGCCTGCACGTAAGTTTGTGTACACATGCACCTAACATGTATCATGCATGAAATGCTGGCCCTACGATATTTGTACGTCAACATGATATTCTCTTCGTCAATATGCTGTTCGAATGTATCAGTTGTCTTGTCGTTCTGAGAAACCGGATGTGTGTACGCATCATTGTGTGATGCGTGTGCAAGCGGTTGGCATGCGCGTGATTAACATTAATTTTTGCTTTTGCTTTTTGTAATAGATGCTAGGCATTGTTTTGCACCTAACAGGGGGGGGGGGGGATGAAGGCATGGGCACGAAAGAGGACGGGCCGAAAGCGACAGAGCAGACGCACAAATGTGGCATCCTTGCTTCATCAGACGACGATGTATATGTGTGAGAGATGTCGTGTTCAAGCCGCCGTCTAAAGAAACAGAGCGAGGGGATCAAAAGAGCGTGACGACCTTCTCTGGGCTCCTATTCCTGCTTCATTTTATCTTGAGCTATCTTTTAGATATGCCATTCTAAACCGCATTGAAGACGATCCACATTCTACGCCACGCATGGTGGAGGAAGGGCTTTTTATGTAATGTAAGAGAAGCGTAACAAGGAGAGCAGAGGGGGTGGGGAAGGGTGGACAGCATAGAACTATATTGCCAGGTGTGGTTGCAAATCATGCCTACGTCTCTTTCAAATGTGTTCAAGCCTTAAAGCGGAATAGCAGTGCCTTCGTCACATAACATGCAACACACCCGTCTTTAGTTCGCACCTCTGGCTCAAGTACGGGCCAAACGGACGTTACCTTTTTGGGACATCGGCGTAGTGCTTAACGCGCGCCCTGGTGTCTGGTTGGATACCACTGCTCGGATATTTGTTTGACCTCTTGAAGGTCATGGTGACCAAAATCATAGAAGACTGCTTTGAGTTTTGCATAGGAAAAAAAACAAAGATAAGGTAGGCAGTATGCTCCTGGAAATGAAATTTTACCCGGGTCATTTTAGGTCAGTGATCTATTATGACCCACAACAGTCCATGAAGGATGTCTTATGTTGCTCATGTTATCAATACATTCGAAATGAGCACCAGGAAATACCCCAAACAGCAAGCCCTAGAGTAAAAAAAACAAGTTGGCTTTAATTGGTCATTCAATTGTTGTGATGCTTAAGAAAGCATCTCAGAGATGTGCGGCTTCGTCTAACACTCCGTTATTCCATCAGATTGAACGATTCCCTTGAAATTGACTTCGTTGAATCTATGGCCTGACTTTGACCTGCCTCAGGTCGGCGACCTGATGAAATAATCCAATTTTTAATTCTGCACGATCCACTATTCAATGGTCTACAGCTATGCACCATTTGACGTGGCTACGCCGCGCCGTTTGGAAACCATCCCGGAAAAACCCTCAGGGTGTCAATTTGACCCCCATCCGAGTGCGCTTAACAAAGCGAAACTATTGGGTCGCCCAGCCTAAACAGTGCATAAACAAGAGGGGATGAAAAATGACCAAACTGTGAGCGCAATGTATCGACGGCCCCGGAGCTATTAATCCGTTTTTGGTGCTACTGCTTATTAATTAACCCATGCCTGGCTCGCAGCCCTAGTTTTCCTTTACCATTTTAACTTCCAATAAAATGTCAAAGAAAGCTACCAGATCAATACTGTTACGTAGATGGCGCTATCAAGACAAGCGAAACAGACGCTATAACTACAGCATATGCCCTGCTCCAAGAGCGTGGGTCGGCTGTTCTGGTATTTCCTCGTAATGTGAACAGCCCTTCCGGTTGTTGAGTCAGGCTCGTCGTGGCAACTCACGTAGCCACGCTGCGGAGTTGAGGAAAACCACAGGTATCTATTGTCAGTGTGTTTCCTGAGGAATGTCTGTCCGTGCTTGTGGTCAACGCCAAGGTACAAACCGTGGACTTAAATGCCATTAGAGGTGTAATATCAATGCTCCCTCTCTATGCCCTGCGAAAAAATCTGATCTGGTGTACCAGCACGGGTGTAACCACTGGAGATGGGAGATACATGCTCCCCCCATTTTCCGTAACTGCATTCCAATTTTACCTGCAGCAATGTGTGTTCTCCATGAATGCCTTTGAGTATTGGTGAACCCCTGTACAATGCAGTGTGCATAATAAGCAATAAAATAAATGTATGTCTTCCCATGGAAAATAAATGCTGAAAGGTCAGGCCACTTGTGTATTTCATTTTTGCCCCTCAATCTCAGAGAAATGATGATGGCACATCTGGCTGGAAGGTATTCCAGTGCTGTATTTGTAGGCAACCCTAGTCACTACTTACCATGAGATAGGTTTTGCCCTTGGTGGTCATCTTATTGCCAGTCATGGAAGTAAACATAGCAGTCAGCAATAAATATGTTATAAAACTTAGCACTGCCCTTACATGTTTTGCAACATTGTTGGCACAGGTATCATGCTTTTTAGGCTGTCATGCCAGAATTCTTAACAATGTAGGTAACAGTATGAATGTCAAAATATAATATAGCACTATCAGAATAATCAATGATAATGCATTTGTGAACAAAGCTTTCATGTGCAAAAAGCTCAACCCACACCAATAGTAGGGTATTTGACATTCCCTAAAGTCCAGGTTGTGAAGCCAACAACTGATGTGGGCAAAAGTGAAGCTGTATTCAGCCAGTGCATTGCAACATATTTATTCATAAGATATCAGCTGCTGTGAGCAGTTTCTTTTAGCAAATAAATGCTGCCAAAATGTGACAAAAAGATGCAGGATTAGACAGATACACATCAGAAAAGGCTTGATTTTAATATTTTATGGGTTGAAAATAGTACCTGTATATAGAGCAACTATGTGTGTGTACTGTATGCATACTAGCTTGTGAAGATATCAGAATGTGCATGATTACCTTGGAGGTGTGGAACTAGAAGATGTAGATTGGTAAAAACCAATAAGATCCAATGGGATGTCAGGTCTTCTGATCATGTGCTTATATGTGTACTGAAGTATGCTAAGTCCCTTTAACTAAGTTTGTTTTGTATGCAATTGCAGCTGTTCTGCAATGTTCTGTGAATTCCAATGGCATTAAATATGGATTTTTGTGTATTTTAGGCAACTGAAAGATGGAACCAGAAGATGTTACAGAGGAACCAGCCAGTGAGCCTGGTGCAGTTAGCAAGCTATGCACTAGCATTGGGCAGGTAATCAACTATAATGACTTGACACTCTGATTTGAGGCTATGCACATATAAAATTATGTATTTTTTAAAAGAATGTTGGCCCCTTCCCATTGTGGCATGCTGTAATGCTGCCTTTACACTCCCATAAGTAAGCATGACAGTTGCCTGATCTGATTTTGCTTTTCTTTTTTTAATGCTTGCAATACTGTTTTCAGTTTTTGTGTTCTGATGCCTTTAAAAAGTGTGGGTAGTGCATATAGATCATATGTGCTTAAAATGCTGACATAGCTCATGGAGACTCATCTTTTGAGTTGCCAAGAATATCAGCCATGGCCCTTGAAATTGTATGTTTTCCCTTCCAGCCTACTTCAAGCATGGGAAAGGGCAGAGTATGAACTAAGCAATGTGATGTTATATTCACTGCTAAATTCAATAATGTCATGCTTGTGGATGGAACTGTCTAACTCTGATGTTTTCAAAGGAAATCAGACCAGGGCACCTTAATTGATCTAAAAGTCATGCACCTCTCCCTTTGAGCTCAGGTCACTTGTATTTCAAATTTCCATGTGAAGTGTGCCAAAAGTCATATTAGGCTTTGGCACATAAGGTGTTTTCATGGCAATGACATGTCAATCTGTTTAACAGCGATATCAGAAGGTCTTGGATGATGCAACGCCTCACGTGCGACGACGATGGATCCTGGCAGGCCTCTTCAATGTTCTTTTCTTGGGCCGCATTGTTACATGCAGGTGAGATGAGACTACGCTATGTGTGAGCTGGTGTTGTGGCTAAGACCCGCTGTTCAAACTACCAATGTCTCAAGATCACATAATTTATCGGTCTGTCCTCGCCTCCAGTGGCGTTTTGCGCACGCCACGCTTTAGCCAGCTACTTCTCCGGCCGGCTTCAGGTGTAGCCGGTTCTAATGGGGACCGGAATATGTTCGGTTAAAAGTCATGCATGCATCACAATCTCGAAAGTGTTTGGTGACGGTAATGTTAAAAGGGTTAGATGTGCTGCTATACTGTATTTTTGTTGGTACAAAGGCAATTAAGCAAAAAGATGGGCAGTCCTTTTTCGGATATCCCAGTTTGCCTTTGACGAGGTATTTATGGTTGGATGTTTTTGGTATAGTTTGAACACACTTCTGAGCATAGTTACCTGGCCGTTGCAGTGTCTGAATGCAGTGTTCCCCAACCCTTAAATGCCACCTAATTTAATTTATGCCAAAACGGCTAAATTTCCTTTTCGGGCTCCACTTACCATCAGCTGACAATTTATAACGCATTATTTTTCGTTTCAGGGCTGGTATGTTGTAACGTACGCCCTGGCGATATATCATCTTAATCTCCTTATAGCATTCCTGACTCCGAAAATCGATCCAAGCTTAGAAATGTCATATGACGGTAAGTCGTGTTCTCATGATGTGCCCTCAGGCGACCCTTCCCATCGACAGCGACGAGGCGCGTGCTCTCAGTAATCCATCGGCTGTGGAGTCGAGGGGGCAGGCCTGCGACGCACGCGCTAACGGCCCGTACAAAGTCGAGTTTTATCAGTGTACGTGATTGGGGGGTTGAGTTGAGCCGGCGTGGCGCCGTCATTTTCGGGGGAAATCGAGACGCGGCGCTGTGGCCACCCGCTAAACCTTTTTCCCGATCGGAATATCCAGGTCGTCAACGGACTGCTGATCTGGTGTTCGTGGTGTAGGGTACTTGTGCGGTGTGTTTGTGCTTGTGGAGCGCTTGTATCAAGGTCTCCCATCAGTGTTTTAAGTAAGTCGACTACCCCTTGAAGCAATTTACGCATGGCGCATCCAGGTAGTCTAGTATATATTTATACATCGAGGACATAACATATCAAAGACAAATATATTTCATCTGGTTGGCTGTCATGCAAACGAAAATTGTATTGGCGGCAAATACAGCTGTGAAACTGACAACTTAAACCTACGTGCAAATGGCGTGAGAATGAGGATGGCACCAATACAAACATCAAATGGCGTGAGAATGAGCAGGGCACAAATGACAAGCATCAAATAGCGTGAGAATGAGCAGGACGCCAATAACAAACATCAAGTACGTCACGTGCGGGCAGGAGGGTAGGAAAGGAGTCCAACTGCACCAATTTTCGCATCACCAGCGGTGCCATTTTCGGACATTCTCGGCTGAATAGGTTTATGTGTGGGTGCGGGGCGGTGGCCGGCGCGATAAGCGCAAGACTGAAGACTGCTGAAGCATCCATGCTGAGCGTGCTCTGTAAGCTCCCGGGGCGTTTTGGTCGGCTGTTTGCCTGACTTTGGGTACATTGTTGCTATTGATAAACCCGAATGGGATTATGCAAGTGCTCATTTCTTAGTAGGCAAACTACCAAGTTGTATTTCCCAGCTGGGGTTCACTACTCCTACATAAAGTAGTTAAATTGTCGAAAGCCATTTTCTCTACTCAGTGAATGTGGTACTGTGAACAGTCATTTCTGTCAGGACATCTTAATTTGCATGCACTCAGCGAGGCATGCCATTGTTCATTGCTTTGTCCAGCAACCAGCTGACCTTAAGTTTTTTTTTTTAGCGGGGGATCCATCGTATCACGTGCGGTGGTATAAATGGTGCGAGTGGCAGTGGCAGTATCGAGCAACGCGACTTAAAGTAGGTGGTAGGCGGATCATTTTCGGTTGGACAAAACTGAGACTCGGGTTGTTATTATGGGAGCTACAATAATCAACAGTTTAATGACGTATAGTAGTGCCAAAACAGGTCAGCCGTTTAAAGACGACGTTTTTTGACGACATAGGTATTTTTGCTCTGCAAAAAAACGCGTGATTTATACCTGTGCTAGTTCGTAAAATGTTTTACTTTAGAAATAAAAAGAAACTCACCGAAGATGTTCTTTAAATACTATTTTCACTACACTGCACTATTTTTGTCTTTTCTGTCTGTCTGCACTATTTTCCTCCTGTTGTGATTGTGGTGTGATTGTGCGGGGTGTGCGCCCTCGCCCTCGCTGTCTTCCGAGCTCTGTATCTGACTGGATGCCTGGGGGCGTCTCGTGACCGCGGGTCTCCCGATTCGCCGGGAGTCGGGGGTCGGCCGCTGAGGCGGTGGCAGGAGGGACCCGACGCTCGCATATGCGAGTCGGTTTTTGGGGGAGTCCGGGTGAATACACGCTACATTCACCTACAAGATACTTCGGCGATCATGCCTTAACCGCCGCGGCCTGTGGCGACGCTGTGGCAACGGCTGCTGCGGGTGTCCCAGCGCCAGTGATGTCGCCTACTACGGCCGGAGTGAACAGAGGGACCGCGGTGACTGGTGGAGGCCCATTCGACGCGCGACTCATCCCCGAGTACGATGGCACGGCCGACATCGTAGAGTGGTTCACGAGGGCGGCCGCGCCCTGCCGTCATCGTGGAGCAGACTTGCCCAGCATTCTGCTGGCGCGAATCACGAGTGGCGCGTTTGCCGTCTGGCTGCAGATGCCAGAGGAGGCGCACGCATCGAGTGACGCCGTGCGTGAAGCTCTCTATGACGTCTTTGCGATGGATCGGTTTGCCGCGTACGACGCATACACCAGCCGCCGGCTGCTGCCTGGTGAGTCGCCAGATGTGTTCCTGGGGACATACGGGGCCTCGCAGCTCTGTGCGGTGGGGTTGCGGAAAACTTGCTCACGTGCGCTTTTATCGCCGGCCTGCTCGACGAGGTGCGGAGGCTGTCCGCGCTGGCTCCAGGGCGGAGGCTTTGAGTCTGGCAAGCATCCTGGTGTGAGTCCGGGCAGTGCTGAGCGACGAACGTGCCGGTGCGGCAGCGGCAGCGGCTGGAGCGCACGAAAAACGAGGGACCCACAGGCGCAACCGGCAAGGCGACCCGTCCGGAAGTGGTGGACCTGCGGACAGGCGGGTCACCTGGCAGCGGCGTGCCCAAATGGGCAGGGGCTGCGTTAGCGCTAGCGCAGTCCCCCGAGCAGTAGCGCGCGCTCCGCCAGTCGTGGCACTGGTGGACCAGCTCACTGGAATGTGGCGTGGAAGTGGGCGCACGGACGTGGTCCCGAACGTCTGCGGAACACCGTGAGTGAGTACGCTGTGCCGGCTGAAGCACGAGAGGCCTACGAGCGCGAGTTGGCTGAGTGGGTGGCGAACGGATGGCTCCGGCCCTATGACGAGCAAGAGGACGGGCCCGCTCGGGGCCTGATTCCCTTGATGGCAGTTCAACAGCCGCACAAGGGGAAGGTCAGGCCGGTGTTGGACTACCGCGAACTCAACCGGCATGTGACCGCGCACACCGCGGATGCCGACGTGTGCGCCGAGCAGTTGCGCCGCTGGCGCCAGCATGGTGCCCGGTTGGCCGTGGTCGACCTGTGAAAAGCGTACTTGCAGCTGCGTCTGGAGCGCCGGCTGTGGCCGTATCAGACGGTGCAGGTCAAGGGCCGCACCTACAGCCTCACGCGGCTCGGATTCGGCCTCAATGTGGCGCCGTTGATTATGAAGGCCGTTGTTCAGGCGGCGCTGCGTGAGAACGAGGCGATCAGCCGGGGAGTGCTCGCCTATGTGGACGACCTGCTCGTCGACGAAGACGTGGTCAGCGCCGACAACGTGGTGGAACACTTTGCGAGGTACGGGCTGGCCTGCAAGCAGCCGGAGCGAGTCGTGGACGGAGCGCGAATGCTCGGCCTTCGCGTCGAGACTCGGAATGATGAGCTGCGGTGGTGTCGAGACAATGAGGCGCCTCCACTGCCGACCGAGCTCAACCGGCGTGCAGTGTTTGCGTGGTGCGCGCAGTTGGTGGCGCACCTCCCCGTGGCGGGATGGTTGCGGCCAGCAGCTGCCTGGCTGAGGAGGCGAGTGAACTTCCTGACGATTGGGTGGGACGACCCAGCGTCGGATGATGCGTTGCGCGCGCATATCCAGGAAGTCGCAACGCAGGTGAGGGCAGCTGACCCTGCTCTTGGGCCGTGGCGAATGGTCGGCCCGGAGCTCGTGGGGTGGACTGACGCGAGCGCCATCACGAACGCGGTAATCATGGAGGATGCGGAGGATGCCGCGTTCTCGAGGATACCGCGTGGCTCCGGCCAAAGTCCAAGGCGGCGAACCACATCAACATGGCCGAGTTTGACAAGGCGATGGGTGGCGTAGACATGGCCCTGGCATGGGCGTTAAGCGCTTCAGCTTATGTACGGACTCGGCCACAGTGTTCAAGTGGTTGAGTAACGCCTTGAGCAGACACTCTCGTCGCAGAACAAAGACGCAGGGGGAGATGCTGATCACACGCTGGATTGGCCTCATGCGACAGTTGGTCGACGAGTTCCATCTCTCGGTGACCGTCCAGCTGGTGCGGTCACAAGACAATCCTGCCGACGCGCTCACCCGAGTTCCCCAGACCTGGCTGCGAGCAGAGCTTCGAAATGCGACTTCAGCCGCAGCAGCCGCCGCGCCAAAATGTTTCACGGCACCCCCGCGAGATGCGACTTCGGTCTCCGCGACTATCGGGCCGGAAGAAGTCGCGGCGCCCCCGGCGGACCAAGAAGCCGCTCACGAACCCACGGCAAGCGACGTTCGTGCCCGGATTAAAGGCATACATGAACGGACGGGGCACCAGGGGATCCGCCGGTCCCTGTGGTACACCAGACGGGACCTCGGCGGACACGTCACACAGGCCGACGTGCGAGCCGTCGTCAGCAGTGCGATGTGTGCCGTTCGATTGACCCGGCGCCGACTCGCTGGCGGTCCGGCTCACTCGGCGTCACGACCAACATGGACCCAACTCGCGGTCGACGTGACCCATTGCCAAGGCCGCCTCTACCTCACGATCGTAGACTGCGGTCCGTTCCGGTACAGCATCTGGAGCGCACTGCGACGATCTGACGCGGCAGAAGTGACTGATCCCCTGCATCGAGTGTTCTTAGAACGCGGCGTGCCGGCTGAGCCTCTGCTGGACCATGCCACTGAATTCCGGAGCCGGCGCATGGCTGCATTCGCCGCGAAGTGAGGGCTTCGGCCGCGGTTTCGCGCGGTGCACGAGGCCAGCGGCAACAGAATCGCGGAGAGCCACCACCGAGCTATAAAGGTGATGGCCGCCCGCCGACGGTGCTCCGTCAGTGAAGGGGTGCGTCGGTACAATGCCACTCCGCGGGACGGTGCTAACTCGCTGGGTGCGCCGATGGCGCGGGTATTCCGCACAGCCGGTGCCGACCTGCCGATCGGCCAGCGCGCTGCCGAACCCGCACCGCCGCTGATGCAGGAACCCGCCTCATTGTCGTTTCGCGTCGACGATGCGGCGTGGATGCGGGGCCGGGAGCCCTCCACGCGGTGTACCGATGTGTCGCGTCAGGGCATAGTTACGCGGGTCGTGTCGGACCAGGTGGCTGGGGTCGACGGCACGCCCTGGCACGTGCGGTGCCTGCGGCGGCGGAACCCGCAGAAAGGCTCAGGCGGGAGCCGAATTCTCGGCGCGGGTGAGGAGTTTGGGGACGACACAGGCACGCTGCCGATGACAAAACATTGTGTCGAATTATGAGTACACGGGGGAGGGGGCGGTTCAGATCCGCCTGCCGTGCCATCAACCCGTTGTTGCGGACCCTGCTGAGCGCCCATCGCTATCTTGGAGCGATCGCGATGAAGCGTCAAGCGCCAGTACGAGTTCTCAGTCATTGTGCTGTAATGAGCATGAATTGGATGAGTGCGTTGTGCGCAAAGATGACTTGTTCGTGTCCAGCAACGGTGCGGCGCTACCACCGCCTCGGCCGGATCCTCCACAAGGAGAGAGGGAGAGAGCCGCAGAACCGAGGAGGAGCGGTCGCGCTCGCCAGCAACCAATCGAGTTGTATGGCTTCAGTGTCCCCACCGATCTCATTGACGATTACGAGTGTGTGTAGATTGGTAGAGCGGCATGATTGCTTACAATCAGATGGAGGTGTGGTGTGATTGTGCGGGGTGTGCGCCCTCGCCCTCGCTATCTTCCGAGCTCTACATCTGACTGGATGCGGGGGGGGGGGGGCATCACGTGACCGCGGGTCTCCCGATTCGCCGGGGGTCAAGGGTCAGCCGCTGAGGCGGCGGCGGAGAACCCGGCGCTCGCAGGTGCGAGTCGGTTTTTGGACGAGTCCGGGCGAATACACAGTACGTTCTCTTGGTGATATATCAGGAGTCATGGTGATTGGTCTTTCCATGATTACCGAAACTATGTCGAGATTTCTTGCTTTTCTTTAAACGTTCCAATTTGACATGCAGAGGGTGCCTTTGTTTACGTCTGGGCGACTGCACCAAGCCATAAACCGACGTCACTTATGTCAGGGTTCATACGGGGTTGGCGCTGCTCTGAAGATGAGCTGTTGCTACCTGTCTCACCGTTCCTGTGATTGACACCTCACGTGATCATCAGCTGACGTTCCTTGTGTCGTCATCCATCCGTTTAACGCTCCATCAGACGATGAGGCGATGCTGTTTTCGTCACCAATATTTGGTTTAACGCTCCACCAGACGATGAGGCGATGCTGTTTTCAACACCAGTATTTCGTTTATCGCCGTACAAGACGATGAGGCGATGCTGTTTTCGTCACCAGTATTTCGTTTAACCCTCCACCAGACGATGAGCCGATGCTGCCGACACGCTCCAACGACGAGTTTCGGCCGTTCGAGCGGCGGCTGCCCGAGTTCAAGTTCTGGCACAGCGTCATGAAGGCGACCACCATCGCCTACTGCTGCACCCTCTTCAAGTTCTTCAACATCCCTGTGTTTTGGCCAATCCTCGTTATGTACTTCATAACGCTATTCTGCATCACCATGAAGCGCCAGATCAGGGTAAGGGCATTATGTTTGTCGCGTGCAGGATGTTTGACACCTCATGTGGGCTTTCTAGATGCAGGCCATCAAGACGGCCAACGTCACAGAAATAACCTAGAGTAGCAGGGTTAAGTTTGAAACCAGGGCAGCGCACTGGTACAGCACATCAACCCGGTCACCTCCGTCCGATTATTTCCATTATGCGTATCGATGCGTTTTTTCTTGAATGCCAGTCAAATAGGTTCCTTATGTTTGTATTTCTGTCCTTTTTTGTGAAATGTGTCGGTTATGTAGAGAAAATAAGTGTTTCCAACGTAGATGAATTTTGTATTTGGATGTTCATCCTGTAATTGGAAGCTGTTTAGACCTAAATGTTGCTTTCTGGCGAGGCTGGAGGCCAAGTGAGTCGCAATTTATCTATGGAAACATTAAGCTTTAGCAGTCCAGTCCGACCGTCACACTTCCTAAAAGTGTGACGTGTTCCAAGTTTTCCAATATCTGCACTACCACTTGCCATAGTATCATAAAGTGCTTAGCAACACGAAGCGCAATTCGTTAAAAAATTATGCTGTGTAATTGTTGGACACTTGTTTTGTCAGGCAGGATTGTGAGATCAAGATCTGCAGATATGGGTACCGAATGCCATGTGTTGCAAAGCACCACTTTTTCTAACCGTCACCCAAGGTCAGGCGATCAGGGGTGCTTTAGCCGCGGTTAGGGGCAACAGAATCTGACTTAACGCCGCATAAACTAAAAGTGAACGAGTCGTCGAGCTTCAGTCTAACAAGCAGTGAAACAAAAAACAAAAAGCGAGCGAAAGAAGTAAAAAAAAACTTTTTACATGTTAGCTAAGGCAGCAGCCTTTGAAAGGAGACAGGAAGTAGTTATAGCTAAAGGTTACGTTTGGCTACCCACCAGCCCATTTCCGACGTCAAATTGCTATGATTAGGGCTAGTCAGGTCGTTACGTACATACAGGTGCACGTGCTCAAAACACGCACAAACTATGGATTCGACCGATTTTGGTCGCTTGCGATGATTGAGATCAGATCCCAGCGGTTTGGCCAGATGAAGGCCTGAAAGGCAGATGTACCCACACTATAGCCCGTGGACGGATCTAAAAACGGTTCGACGTATAGCTGCTCAAGAGATGATATGGTGGTGGGCCTGAGAGCGGCCCGTGCCATCGGTTCCAAAACCGACCTCTAATACAAGGCTTACATCGAGAGATCGAGCCGTGGAAACTACACATGTGTCAAATCCTGTTGTTTGTGGCTCACACGCACTCATTTTTTCGCGTTTGTGTGATGTTTTTGCAGCGTAAACCGTAAATTATTGTAACTATCTGGATATCGTCGATTTCGATTTACAGACCTAACCGGACTCATAGCCGGTCAATTTCCAAGCAGCATTTGTTGTGAAATGGCGCGCAAAACAGTGGACCTGCGCCCGCTGGAAGCCAATTGAAGGCGTTTTTCAATGCCTTTCTGAAATTCTTTGATATTGGTCGTCTCATTGGTACTTGTCTGGCCTCATTAGTGTAGCTGTTGTCATCAGTTACTCAATAACAAAAGACAGCGCTCCCTTATGTGATCACCTCGTTTGTTCCACGCCGCTCCAGAAATGTTACCGATTTACATGCATTTGAGGTCAGCATGAAGTAGTGGCGCTCTCAGAAGTCCCAAAGCTTTAGACTGCAAGTCGGCTTTGTGTTTTCTTAAGTTCGGTTAAGTTGTATTTAAAGTCAGTATGGGTGTAATTGATATTAGATACTGTGATACCCATCCACATTGCATGTAATTTAATCCTCATCTGTACCGTTATGGTCCTTCTTATTTGCATCCGCTCCCGTTCACGCGACATGTGACGCCATTACGCCCTACTTGTTACTTGCGTGCGTGTGGGCGCGCCTGTACCGACCTGAGGTATAACGATGCCCCTCTCCCGCCTGCAGCACATGCTGCGTACAAACTACCTGCCGTTCTCCTGGGGCAAGCCCAAGTACGCCAGCAGCGTGGCGGCCGCCGACCGACGCCGTCTGATGGCGGTCCGGGGTGACGCGGCCGCTCCGGCCCCGCCGCCGGCCAGACCGCGCCTGCGCCATGGGTCCGAACACTTCGCGCGCGGCGCGCCAACAGCGACGCAGGGCCGGGCGCGGCTGCGGTGTCGGCTGCAGTGATGGACGCACGCGCGGCTGGCGACGGCAGCGTCCCTGTGCCGCTGCTCCGGACGCGGCTGGAGCCTCGCGAGCAGCCGGGCCGCGGGCCTGGGAGCGGTGACGGCGTCCTGCCACGCCCCGCCGGCACCCAGACGGTCGACCCGGGTCTCCCACCAGGCCATCGGACCCACTTGTTGTCTGTTTTCACGTCGTCGGACTCGCAAGGGAGCATTGGTCGGTCCACGAGGACTGGTAACAATAACATATATGTTTTTTACGTAGACTCGTCTGTCAGGTTGGCATTTTTTAGTTGTTAGGGAGCGTCCGCTGTGTTGCAAGAAAGTTGGACATGTTCGTAGACCACCGCAATGGCGATGATGGTGCACTGTTTGTGAACACTTACCCATTTTTGCTGGATGCGGCAAAATATATGAGGTTATGAAACGTCGACCTATAGAAGGGAAAGGCATGGGTCCGTCGTCCCGCACCATGTCTTCGCGCTGCTTACTTCCTAGCGTACAGACGATTAGCGGGCTGTTAAGCGAAGGGCATGAGGCTGCATAAAAGTTTTCGTAGTCAGAAAAAAAACGTTTTGTCAGATCTCATTGTCCAGATTTTTGGTATGAGTTGAATGTTTAGTTCAGTTATGACGAACGGGAAGTTCCGACTTAAACTACAACCAGTGCCGGGAAACTGGATCGCCAGTTTGGCGTTTTCCGTTAACCTTAGGTTTTGGACTAGTTTCAGTGCTGTCATGATGAAAGTGCCACCACTGGGGACCGTGCTTTGATAAAACTTAACACTACTGAGTACCATACATGCTGTGATCACCGCGACAACGACTCGTGGCGAAAGAAGCACTTCAAGTTAAACAGGAGAGTACAGATTCCAACAACTTTCTGTGCACTTGACCGAAAAAAGGGTTTTCGTTGTACCCAATTTCGAACATTATTGCTTCAGTACTCACGGGTACCGTTCATTGTCAGTTATGCGATGCCCGCAAGGCAGTCAGGGCCGCGTACCCAATTACCAAACGCCGTACACAAGTTCTAACCTTATGAGGTCAGTTAAGTGCGCCACGACAGTTCCTACGGTTTAGAAGATAGCCGCTTGTGAATTGCGTACGCACCTGCGATGCCGTGGGTAGATGATCAGATAGGTACTCCGCCACGGGGAAACGCGACTTAGGTGTGGATCCACTTCAAAAGCCTCATTGCAGGCTGCATTTGTGTGGTTTAGGCAATCGGACAAGCTGTGTTCTTCATTCAAATTATTTATGTGATTGTAGCACCTGGTGACAGATATTTGCATTCTGTACCTACTAAACCTACGGTCAGTTTGGCTTAAAGGGTGTTCCACATTGCATGGATTCGAGCTGAAGAGGCCATTTTGAAGATCATTCGGTTGCAGTTTACAGCCCTGGGATGCGTGGCGCCATAGCAAGGTCATCCAAATCCTGCCATTTCACCAGCCAAGCGGCGTCAAGGTCAGGAAGAATATAGCCGCTCGGCCGTTCAGATTGGCATCCGCGAACGCGACTTCCGAGTAAAGGTGGGCGTCAATGACTCTCAGGCAATGTTGCGCAGCTGTGGAAGCTTCAGTAACAAAAGACGTTTGTGTGCTACATAGGTTCAAGAAAGTTCGACATGGCTTCTTCACGTGCTTAGTTATTACAGAAATCAGACTTGTAATCTAGTATAAGCTGATTGGTAATGCAGTAAAAGAGTCGTGTCATAAAACTATGATGCAGAATGCTTAAGATCAGTCGTTATATGCAAAATGGAGACATAATGTGAGTAGGCACAGACCAAGTATACAGAAGTTTAATTTAGATGCCGGAGAAATTACTTTAAAACAATCGGACCGTACAGCCCCCAGTCCTGCTGCGACGCCCGAACTTCATGCGCCTTACGACCATTTAGGTTCTGGGGGCCTTGACGACTCAGACGCCGAAGTCATGCACGGACGAACCGGTACCCTGGGGTACTTCCTTAATTCCAAAGAAACAGTGCACATAAAATCTGTCTATTTTGTCGAGGAGAAGTTATACACGACCAAAGAACATATGTTTTAGGGGGCGGCCCGTATGATTTTCTTCAAAATCGCCTCATCGAACCGTGAACCGATGGCCATCAATCAGGCTGAAGAAAACTTATGAGCCATTTACATGTAAGGGTTCAAAACCGCCTAGCAAACTTTTATGATGGGTTGTTCACTTACTTAACGACAAATATATGCCGAATTACGTTCGTATGAAAACATCAATCAATCCAAGCAAAGAAATGCAAACATAGTTTGCCTATCTGTCTAGGGGAAAGTTACACACACTCGAAAAAGCATGACTAAGGAGCGGCACCAGCGATTTTCTTTAAATGGCCCCATCGAACCACAGGCGGATGCCCATCAGCCTAGCTGAAGAAACCTCATGGGCCATTAATATCTAAGAGATCGCAACCCCTTAGGCAAAATAGATAACGGGATTTTCCACTTACTTCCGACAAATATGTGCCGAGCTGCTTACATGCAAGCAATTTGTCAACCCAAATCGATAAATGAAAACATTAACTACTTACATTGTCTACAATCGAAGAAACG